TTTTCTACTTTTTTAACACCACGAATTCAGTCCAATATACGATCCTACACTGATACAAAATGGCGTATTCGTTTTCCATATATTTAGTAATGGTCTGTGGTTTAGAAACTGCCGAGCTAGATCAGTTTCAGAAGGCTCTTTTCTCAGACAAATATCGAGCCTGCCACAATGAATTTAAGGGAAGGCCCGATTTTTCCAATGAATTTCACTTTGACATGAGTCTTAACGGGTTGTTCTGACCTTGGGTGGATTGTAATTTCGTCCTCCATTTATCTTCGCATCAGAACTCTGGTGGACCCTCAATCATGTGCAACTGCATTAGGCCCTAATCCACAGAACTTTAGCCCTAGTGTGTTATATGATAAATATGAATTTCAAGACAATGCAAGTTTCTGTATTATTTGCCTGTATGTTCCTAATTGGTTGTTTTCTCTCATTTCTTATAATCTTGTTAGTATCTTCTACCGTTTTTTTCTACTCAACTATATAAGTGACAGCTTTGTTGAACCGATTTTAATACATTCTTATCACCGACTGTTTTCATAGTGGTTTCATGGCTAGTCTATCGGTATCAAAACGTCGTTTTGTGATCAACTGCAAAGTGAAATTCAATGCAAAAATCAGGGATTTTTTTTCATTTATGGCTGACAAACTCTCTAAGATAGTAAACCAGTTTAAGCCCTAAACCTCGACAATATTCGTCCATATTCAGCAGACCATACTTCTTTCTTTGCTCAACAGTAAAACAAAATAATCATATCAAAAACTAATAAAAATAGCTTAACGCTTATTTCGCTAATCATCATGGCAATAGGAATTCTGCTTCAAAACGTTTAGCAATTATGTAAAAGATATAAGTTGTTTGACCTTGTTTTAGCAACATTTGTATGAAGACTTAGAGGAACGCACCTTTTCCGCAGTCCATAGTATGCATAATAATTTCCAGATTCGGACCGTGGACTTGGTACATTTCCAGACGCTTCGACGGCATCGTAGTCTGCATCGTCAGTGAGTCTTGCCAGTCTTAACACCACACTACAACTCGTCAAAGAGACAAGTGAGGTCGATACTTTGACCAATTGTCTGTCTGTATGTAAAAGATACATCAAAAAACGCAGGTGAAGCAACAAGCGAGATTTATCGTGTCATTACAATGGTATATTCTGACTAATTGAACATCTAGTCTGTACACCTAGCCATAAACTAATTAGCAATCTTTTCTCCTTGCGGACGAAGATCGAATGTCTAGATTATTCTGAGCCCTTGGGTCGGTTTTATTTACTTTACTTAATCTGTTATGGTAAATGGTTTTATCTTCTTACAATTCCTTTGCTTCGTTGTTCCGTCGAAAATAAACTCAGGAATATGCTCTTGAGTGCAAAAATCACACCACTTGAAAGGCTAGAATTTGATCTAATCACAACTTCGTGTTAGCTGATTATTAGTCTTTAGATTTTCGAGGGTAAATTTATTTTCAATATTCATTTGAAATAAAAGGATCAGTCTTACCAGCGTAGGATTGTTGGCATATGCTTTCTTGATCCGGTCGCTCCGTTGCGCTTTAGAGATGCCTTCTCAAGATGAAATAGGCTGCTTTTCATCGATGATGCAATTCGTATATGAGATCATCAGGATTCTTCTAAAGACGTTCTTCTCGTGCAGATGCTTTAGCGCGTTTTTATTTTTTCCTTTGATCAGCTAGCTTAATGAAGATGTTGTTTTCAATCAAGTCTCCTAAGGGTTGCTCATTCCTCTTATTTGCACCATAGAATCCTTACCATGTCTATAAAGTTTTTACTATATTCCATTCAAGAGGACTTGTCGAAATTGTTCATTTATCCAGCTTGTTAAAGTTTTTACTTGTACAATTCCGATACATAACAACCGCCACTAAAGCTTTGAGTAAAATTTGATAATGGAAAAACTCTATTTATAATGCAGAGTTGCCTGAATGTATCAATCGCCATTATACAAATCATGAACTATTAAGCTATCAATATTGCTTTAAATAGTAGGAAACAATCGAAACTTATTGTTATCTTAATTATTTTCGCTATGCGCCTCGATGTCTAATCCAGACTAATGCGTTATCATATCGACAAACGGGCCTAACATTCTGACTTGCATAGGACTCCCCCATACTCCATCGCCCTACCCAACTAATCACTATATACATACGGTGCTCTAGTATTAGTTGTGGTACCAGTAGTGCATATTTATACTTTCTATCTTTCCCCTTTCCCTCCCTTCAGGTAACCGAAGATGGAGTCGAGGAATGGGTTGATAAATCCGGCATGCCGCCGGGCCTACTTCCTGAGCACAAGGCTTCTGTTGTTCTTTTCCTGGAACGAGTCTATGGCATTTCGGATGCTGAGGTCTTCACGCGGCTTCTCGAGAACGGCTTTCTGCCAGACATGCGCGCTACCACCCTATTAGATTCGGTAAATACCCCTTTTTCCTCTTTTTTTGGTGTTTGCTGCTGGACTAGCCTTGTTGAGCAGAAGGGCTATTTCTCTTTGGCTTGCAATATGATAATTTCCAATGGAATTTTACTTAGCAAATTTGGTTCAGCATATAATAAAGGCAAGTGATCAAATCAAAAGACGGTAGACGAGAAGCAACCTTACATTTGGAGAGGAAAACCTTGCGATTTCTATTGACCGCAGTAGCTTTTCCCTTTATATAACCGGCTTATCCTTTTCTTACAAATTCGACAATGCTTCATCAGCATAAAAAAAACTATCTTAAGTAAGGGCATCTCTTTAAAAGTGAAATGAGGCATTGCAAAGCAACTGCTTACTAGAGTAAACGCGTAAAGTGGATCA